GAGCTCCCCCTGCTGGCCTCCCAACTCTATTTAATTGAGGTACGTATTCAGGGAGTATGGCGAACCTTCTGTATTTCTGAACCCGCCAGCAAGGCTCTCCCTGTTATAAGCTGGATGCCTCAGGCTGCCATAGCTGGCTGCCATTAACCATGCGTCTAATTTCCCGTGCTGATTGCATTAGCAGGACAACCTTCAGGTTACAACGTGGCTTCTGCTGTACCTTAGAGAGAGAACGCACTCGATTACCTCCAGACTAAAACTGGCTACCCAAGACCCCGATTCCTCATACTAAATCCTCAATAAAAGAGCTTCTGATTGTGATTTCACTCAGTGCCCTGCTAGGAGGGAGACTGCACAGATAACACTTACACAAGGATTTTGTTTGGTGATATTTATTCTTCACTGCACGTTAATTGAGAGGTACTCTTTCAATAAGTTTTGGTCTGCACATTTCTTATTTCATATAAATGAGTTTCTCAGCCATCAGGATCAGAGAGCAACAACAAAAAAGACTGATTCTTCGAGACTTTAATATATAGCCCCCCCCCCCCGAAAAAAAACACAGCATGGAGGGCTTCGGCGTCCAGCTATGACGGAGGAACTAGTACCGAATAAGCCCTGCTATGGTAAACAGCAGTAAAGCTGGAGTCAAAAATATAAGCAACTCTTTTGAGGTGTTAGACCACAGGAGAAGGCAGACTGTAGTCCTGGAGAGAAGGGGCACACCTGGGGTTGAGCCCCAGGACCACTGAGCCTCTGTCTCCTTGGGGTGCAGCCAGCTGGAGCCCCACTGAGCTGAACAGGCAGGTATCAGACCTAGGGGCAGCTGGAGCGACTGGAATTTCAGAGCAGGGTCAGAAAACTGTGGGGTCTTCTACGAAGTAGGGAAGATGGGGAGCAAGTGGAATATGCATCGACTGCTTGTGGAAGTGTGAAATGGCGCAACAACTTTGGAAAACTGTATCTTATAAAGTTACACATACGTTAGCTATACGCCTCAGCAATTCGACTCCTACATATTTACACAAGACAAACGTAAACATAAATCCACAAAGAGTTCTCTATGAATGTTCGTAGCAGCTGTCTTCATAATAGCCCCACACTGGAAACAGCCAAAATGATGAATGAATAGACACGTTGTGGTATATTTACACAACTTAATATTATTCAGCAATAAAAAGGGAACCAAATACTGAGACCCACAATATGGGTGATTCCCCAAAATATAGAGCTGAATGGAAGGAGTGAGACACAAAGCCCATTTTGCAGTACAAAGCGGCAGGAGGGACATTTCTGAGGGGCTGGAAGTGCGCTTAGTTTGATCACAGGTGCCTACATTTGCCCAAATTCACTGAGCTGGACTTTTAAAATATAGTCATATAAACAAGGTCCTACTGTATAGCAGAGGGAACTATATTCAGTATTCTGTAATAAACAATAATGGAAAAGAGTACAAAAAAGAATGTATATGTATAACTGAATCACTTTGCAGTACACCAGAAACTAACACAACATTGTAAATCAACTATACCTCAATAAATAATAAAATTAAAAAATAAAATATAGTCATATATAATTATACCTCAATAAAGTTGGTTAAAACAAAAGAACAAGGAGGGCTAGCCCCTGGCATTGGTAGCTGATCAGGGGTCCGCCCTGAGAGGTGCTGCTAACTTCCACACTCCTCTAGTAACTTCTACACGGAAAGATTCTGGAAACTTCTCAGGAGGCAGAGTCTGCAGTTAAAATCTGACTCCCCCACTCACTAGTGTCATAGTCTTGAGGAAATGACTTAACCTTTCTGAGATGGCTTTCCTCAACCCTAAAAAGGGATAATGCTATTTTTTTTTCCCAAGAGCTGTTGAGAATGTTAAAAGATTTATAGCAGCGCTATTCATAATAGCAGAAATGTGGGGGGAAAAATCCGTATCCCAAATATCCATCATCAGTAGAATGAATCAAAATTGCAAAATACTCATAAATTGTACTTTTATACAGCAGCAATAAGAATGAAGGAACTAGAGCCACGAACAACAGCATGGATGAATCTCACGTAATATTGAGCAAAAGATGTCAGACACAAGAGCAAACTGTGTAACACTTTATTTTTTTTTTTAAACACAAACAAAACTATAATGTTGAGAGATGCATGTTTCTGGGTGGTAAATCTATACGGTAGTCCCCCTTATCCATGGGGGATACCTTCCAAGATCCCCAGTGGATGCCTAAAGCCTCAGACAGTACCAAACTCTATATATACCAAGTTTTTTCCTATACATACATACCTATGATAAAGTTTAATTTATAAATTAGGCACTGTAAGAGACTGACAATAATAAAATAGAACAATTATAACAATATACTGTAATAAAAGCTATGTGAATGTGGTCTCTCAAAACATCTTATTGTACAAATTTAATGCTTTTTCCAACCTAACTAAGCAGTTATTGGGCACTGTGGCTGTAACATTTGCACTTTGAGGTGTGACAGCAAAACTAGCACGAGTTCCTTTTTCCTTCTTCACAGCTTCACAGATAGAAGATTCATTCTTACCATAGATCTTAGTAATCTTAGTATACGATTTTTTTGCCTTATTAAATTGAGAACTTTCACCTTTCACTTAAAGGAAGCACTTTATGGCTTCTCTTTGTCATATCCGAATTGCTCGCATCACTACTCTTTGGGGCCATTATTAAGTAAAATAAGGGTCACTTGAACACAAGCACTGCGATACCTCGACAGTTGATCCTCTAACCAAGACAGTGACTAATGGGTGGGATACACAGGACAAGGGCTGATTCTTGTCACCAGCTGGATAGAGCAGGTGGTGTGAGATTTCAATACCCCACTCTGAACACAGCACAATTTAAAACTTATGAATTATTTACTTCTGGAATTTTCCATGTAATATTTTTAGACTGCATTTGACCCCAGTAATTGAAACACGGAAAGTGAAACCATGGATAAGGGGAGACTACTGTACAAGCAATACAATACAATGATTACCATACTTTTTTAAAGGTTTTACTTTGGGGGAGGGAGCAGGGGGGTTTCTGGGAAGCTGGCCAAGCTCTATTTCTTGACGTGGGAGGTGGTTTTTAAGGAATGATTTTGACAAACTAATAAGCTGTATATCTCAGTTTTGTGCCTTTTTCTAGATGTGTGCTATATTTCACAATTAAATGTTGGAAAGAAGGAAGGGAGGGACGGAGGGAGGTTGGGAGGGAGAGAAAAGAAAAAGAAACCCTCATTCAGAATAATCTGAGGTGTCCAAGAAGCCAGGGCCTGCCCCCAGGTCCATCCACCACCCGCAGCATGAAGACCCATCAAGGGTAGCCCGTCCTTCGCTGGTCGCTAGATCCTCCGGCACAAACAGCCTGGAAACTAAACTGCCTGGAAACTAGAGTGCCTGGAACGTGCTCTTGGCAGCTCAGCAGTCAGGCTCCCAGTCAGCGGCTTCTCACCACCTGCGCCTGCGCTGACATGCCTGCGGGAGACTCGGCTGCGCGTGCGCTGTCTGCCCCGCTGGGCTTTAACTCCAGTCCAGCAGCACCTCGTTGGCAGCTGCCCGGTGGGCAAAGTATCATTACGTGGCTAGGAGCTGCGGTCACGTGTCCCCTGGACTGAGTTGCACGTTCCTAAGGGGGTACCCGTGTTTAGTTCCAGAAATGTTGTCCTTGCGTAGGGATAAGCAAACTTCTATAAAGTCTAGACAGTAAATACTTTCAGCTTTTGTGGGCCAAGAGGCAAAATCTCGGATATTACGTAGGTACTTACCTAACAAGAGAGGAAAAAAATATCTACAGTTTTAAAATCTGATGTAATTCAAAATATAGTAATAATAATTGAATATAATTTTTAAAGGTATATGCCTACTAATAACAATAGAATTCTATTTTGGGGATAAGGGTGAGGCGTGGAGGATAATATTTTCTTAATTGTGGCTCAGTTAGTGTTCCCTATCATTAAAACTCGATTGCGATGTTCATCTGTTAATGCAGATCTACAGTGAGATTTTTACCCACTTCCCTTTTGAAATGTCTTTTCACACAGATATGTACTGCCAGATGCTGATATCCGCCCCTGAGCAGATGCTTTCAATCTATCATATTCACCAGCAGGAAGACATTTGTAGAATCTGTTATATTCTTTTCTTGATATTTGTGTTTTAGCAGGTCATCACATTGCAGATTAATCACTCCCAACTGGAGATTAGGTGGAAACTCCTGGATCGCACAGTTAAATGGATTTTGAAATAATGGAAATTTCCTTTGCATTTGCATCAAAGTCTGAAAAACTATGCTGGAACTGCAGTTTGAGCTTGGAAAATATACCTGCTGCAAATCTGTGTGGGAACAGAGATCTGGATTCTTGTTTTAACATTTGACAGCGTGGGAAGCGTATAAGCAACTTGGCTTTACCTGTGACTCAAACATTGTTAATTGTCATCGAAATGATTTCACTGTATCATAAATTTTGCATGTAAGTGCTGTTTCAGTTTGTAATTTTAAGTTGAAATCATTAAGAAACATTATCAAGTCTATAGCAAGTATTATTTCTCAAAAGTGTCAGAGTCTCGTATAGAGGACAAATTGGGTGAAGTAATGGCAATGGCAAAGCATAAGACTCCCAGAAAGAGCACGACCTCCCGGTCCACGACTTAAGGCCCCACGCACTTCCCACGTCCCCTAGGGCACTCGCAGTGCACGCTGGGACGTGTAGTTCCGGCGTGCGAGGTCCTGCGCGCGCAACCCCCACCGCGGGCGACTTACTCTCTAGGCCGCGCGCCACCGTTCCCGGAAGCTGTTCGGGTTAAAGTTTCAAAGCTTCCTTTCCCCGCCTCTTAGTCCCGCAGATTGCCAATCCAAGTAGCCAATAGATGGCCGGACTGGTGCTTCCTTTTACTTGATTGGCTTAGGTTTCTGCAGCCGCACAGACAAACTTGCCGGGGATTGGTCGAGCTTTCAGTTTTGAAAATCGTAGGTTTGGCCCGCGCTGCACCGCCCCGTTGCTTCCTTGCAGCCGCGAGCTTTGGAGGCCGGGAGCGGTGGGACTTGGGCGGGCTGAGATTTGTGCTGGGAAGGTCGTCGGACTTGGATCGGAGCAGCACTTAGGAGACGCGGTGCAGTCGAGTGAGTGCGCGCGGGCGGCCGGCGGGGGTGGGGGGGTAGTTAGCGATTTGTTACCCCTTCCTCCAGCCCCGGACCGGGGGCGTGACCCTCTACCCCCCGTTGCGGCCTGGCAGTGGATGGATCACCTCTTCCAAGTGACGAGGTGACCTGCCTTGGTCCTGGGGCCAGAGATGACCCCCACCCTCCATCCTAGAGAATAACCCCGTCCCTTCCCCCTCCCGGTGCCTAGCACCTTCTTTTGTGCCCAGGAGGCCTTTTGTTGATCTGGACGCGCAGGAAGCGCACACCGACCGGGTTGTGTGACGGAATTATGCCAGATGGCATTTCTGTACAGTTAACTCTCGCTCAACACCTCCCCCATCGGCTGAGCAACATTTTAAAGCGACCATTTCTGGAGTCCACTGCTACCCCTGATCTTGTCATTTCCCAAGCACGTTCACTGACAGTGGCCTTCTCTGGGGCGCCCAGAGCCAGAACTTGGCCCCTGCCTTCCCGAGGTTGAAATGGAGTAGGCGGCAAAGCTTGTGGTTAAGAGCACAATTTACATCCAGGCCTTGCCCTTGACTTAACTTCTCTTTGCCTCAATTTGCTCATCTGCACAAGGGTCTCCTTGAGGTTGTGAGAATTAAATGAGATGATGCTCCATCCAAGCACGGAGTAGGACTCTTTAAAGAAAGCAACTGTTGTGACCCTTCTTTGCTGAGGCGAGGTCACAGTTAGGTGCCCGACTTCCTGCACCCTCAAAAGAACAGGTATTGTGAAGGAGGGCCGTGGGGCCCTAGTCTGGTGTATGATGTGAGAGAAGTATTGGGAGACGAAAATGAACAAGCACCCTTCACCCTTGGTGGGATGTAGGGTGCTCTGGGTTTGTGCCCAGGTTCTTGCAGGGGCTGAAGAGATTTTTGCTGCTTTTCCCAGGACCCTCATTCTTACACTGATCCCTCCTTTCACAGGGTCACCTCTGATCTAATGACAATGACCCTTTTTAAATACCCAGGCTGAGGCTGCTGAAAACAAACTTCCTCATGGAAGAAGCCCAAACACCTTTTTGCACTTTGTGAAAGAAGCTTTCGCCCATTTTGCCATTTTGAACAAATACTTTAAAAAAAAAGAGCAAGTTGTTGATTTCCATAGCAACAAGTGTTTTGTCTTCCTTTAACATTTTTCTCTTTCCTAGCCTCAAACTGTGTTCCTGCCCTTAGCCAGGGCTGAGCTCTGGGACAGAGGGACTGGGGGGATCCAGAAGGATGGCAGCCGAGAGGCTGTGTCGATGACTGGCTGGCTGCAGAGCTGTCTCTGCCCAGAGCCTCTGCAGTCCTGCCCGATTGGCCCTGCCCCGATGAGTGCTGCCTTTGGCATCTAGGAGTAGGCCTTTGGATGAGTAAGGCATGCCCTAACCTGTGTAGAATGAGTTCATTTGGTGTCCCTGTACGTGTGTATGTGTTGGGGTGGGAGTACCTGTAGAATGTTTATTTCTAGGTATAGAGTTGATAGATGGATGAATTCATTTAACAAGTATCCCTTTTGTGCCAGGCACTGTGCCATACTCTGGGCTTTCAAAGCTGCGAGCAAGACAGACAAAGGCTTGTCCTCAGGGAACAAACGCTTAGTGGTCAGAGACAGGCAGCAAGCAAACAGATACAGTCACCCAAGTGCCATGCGGAGAATTGAAATTGATGGATAGGATGGTAGCTGGTGGTCGGGTCCTCCCTGAGTTGCTGAGAGCCAAGTGCTGAGGAATGAGCTGCACAAAATAGGAGACAGAAGGTTCCAGACAGAGGGCAGAGCTTGCTCAAGGAACAAAGGCTCGTGTGCCCTGGAAATCAGCCCCCAGGAAGTCCTATGAGGCTGCAACAGGACCTGGCATTAAGCTCTGTAAGGGGTGACTTAGCCCCTCCTTCCAGGAGTTCCCATCTTAGGTGGGAGGCTGAGCTATGCGTGGTTCTTGGTTTTGAAGTTGTAGATCAGGGTGGTGGGTTACTGCCATGGCATGAGACATGCAGTCTGTTATTGTGGCTAACCACTGTCACCCATTCATTTGTTCTTTCATTCATTCTACCAGTCGGGATATTTATTGAGCCCCTGCTATGACCAGAATAGAACACTTCTTCCTTGCCTGGGGCTTTGGTGATGATTTTATAACTGAGTTTTGAGGAGAATATCTGAGTTGCCAGTTGTTTTTTTGTTTTTGTTTGTTTATTTGTTTGCTTTTTTGAGTTCCTAGTTTTTTAAGAAATTAAGTGAAGACATAGAACAAATATAGTTACCAAGGGGGAAGAGGGGGAAGGGATAAATTAGGAGTTTGGGATTAAGATATACACACTGCTATATGTAAAATAGATAACCTACTGTATAGCACAGGGAATAGTGCTCAACATCTTGTAATAACCTGTAATAAAAAAGAATCTTAAAAACAATAAATATATATGTATAACTGAATCACTTTGCCATACACCTGAAACTAACACAGCATGGTAAATCAACTATACTTCAATAAAAATTTTTTTTAAAGGAAATTAAGAGCAAACTAATTTTGTATTTTCCACTGCCTGATATTTCTAGACAAGTTTTCCTAAAAACAAGACGTTGCTTATCCGCTCCCCTCGTGCTCCCTCATGCGTCTCAAGGGCATTTCAGCTCAAGGGAGAGGGTTGTAGGGGCCCCTTAGAGAAGAGCCTGTCTGTAGACCCCGCTTTCTTACCCACTACTTTGGGACGCAGAACCCCTTCCAGCCACTGGCCTCCCGAAGAGGCAGTTGGACTTGATGTTCTCTGGCCTGATGCCTGGGGTCAGCTCGTGGGTAACTCACCCTCCGACAGTAGGAGAGGAGCCCTTAGGAGGGTAAGAGCAGGCCTTTGGACAGGTCAAGGGGTCCTACCTGGTGGGACCACAGTTTCTCCTGATCCAGGAAGGCAGTTGGCCGTGCCCTGTCATTTTAAGCCCCAGAGACAGCCATTTGTAAGGAGGTCCATTGACACCACAATTGGCTGGTCATTGTGGGCTTCTGGGGACAACGTGCTGTGTGGGGTGGGGATGGGGCGGCATTGAAGAGTGTGAAGATTCCAGCCCTGAGCCCTCATGCCTCTTATCTCTGCTTTCTCCCGACAGAGCCATCATGGGGACGACAGCCCCAGGGCCCATTCACCTGCTGGAGCTCTGTGACCAGAAGCTCATGGAGTTTGTCTGCAACGTGGACAATAAGGACATGGTGTGGCTGGAGGAGATCGAGGAGGAGGCCGAGCGCATGTTCACCAGGTGCGGGAGGGACGGACCCGGGGCTGCCTGAGGCCTCAGCGGGGGCCGCTTCCCCACCTGACAGGCAGAACAGGCAGGCTGCCAGCAGTCCCTGCTGAGTGCGCGGGATGCTCAGGACTAGGGTGATGGGAAGCAGGGGGAGAAGTGTTGGGCTGCACCTCAGAGGGTGGGGCTGCTTGGCAACCTTGCTCCCCTGCCATGTCTCGGGGGCAGGAGGGGGGCGGGCGGACCCCTGAGTGCCTGCGGTGACTCACTTGCAGCCTTGGAGAGCTTGCTTGGTGCTGGTCACCCCAGCTTGACCAGGCACTGCCAGGAAGGGGGCAGGGGTCGGGCTGGGTGGGGAAGGGGGACCCATGGTTTCCAGGCAGCCTCGAACATCACCCTCTTTGTACCAAACAGAGAATTCAGCAAGGAGCCCGAGCTGATGCCCAAAACACCTTCTCAGAAGAACCGACGGAAAAAGAGACGGATTTCTTATGTTCAGGATGAAAACAGAGACCCCGTCCGGAGAAGGTAGGAGGGGCCGGAGGCTTGGGGCCCACGTGGAGAGCTTGATTCGCAGGTATTAACTGACATGAGGAGCCGCCCAGGGGAAATGAAGCGTGACCCGAGGCCGTGGAGTCCAGAGCTTGTGTGTGTTGGAGGTGGGGATGGTGTTTGATCTGGGCCTCTCCTTCCAGAGGTAGGAGAAGCAAGAGAACCTGACCTTCTGCTTGGGGGAGAGTGACCAGAGGTGTAGACCGGGCGCTGTTCCCTAACCCCCTGTTGCTGTGCTGGTTATAACTACCCTGGTAACGACCATGGGCTGCGAAGTACCAGGGGAAAGAGGCTGGGTCTTGGGGGTCAGGTGGTCTTGGGTGCACACCCCAGCTCTGCCCCTTAGCAACTGTATGTCCTTGGGTTAATTTTCCACGTCTCTAAGCCTCAAGTTTCTGGAGTCTAAAGTGAGGATAATGGTCCCTGCCTCTCAGGGCTGTCTGGTGGTTTAGGCGACAGCATGAGTAATGCCTCCAGCAAGGTGTTTGGCCCAGTGTGACCCCGGTCAGTGGGAGGTTTAGGGGAATTTAATCTTCCCAGTGGTTCTGAGAGGACAGGCATTATCCCAATTTACAGATAGGGAGACTGAGGCCCAGAGAGGGGCAGCCGGGGTGTCACGGCTAGAGGCTGCAGAGCCTGGACCAGAACCCCGGTCTTCTGCCTCCTAGCCCTCCGCTTCAGATTCCACTTGAGCTGGCGGCTCCTGGGGAGGCCGGTGCCTGCAGCTGGAATTTTGGGGAGCCTCCCCGCCCTGCTGGGTCATCTCAGCTTCTGCTCCACCTCCTCCAGCAGGTTGTCCCGCAGAAAGACGCGGAGCAGCCATCAGAGCTCCCGGCACCTCCGCAGCAAGGACAAGGTGGAGAGGCTGGCCACAGTGGTGGGGGAGAACGGCTCCGTCCTGCGGCGGGTGACCCGTGCTGCGGCCGCAGCTGCAGCAACCTCCACGGCAGCCACGCCTTCGCCCACCCCTGAGTCTCCCACAGTGCTGACCGAGAAGCCCAAGAAGAGCCTGGCCCAGTGCCAGCTGGTACCCATGGTGGAGATTGGCATCAGCGAGCGCCGGAGCGCTGAGCAGCACCTTAGCCAGCTCCAGTCTGCCCAGGCTCCACCCCCTACCCCGGCTCCGGCCGCTGCTCTGGCCTCCCAGATCACCTTGACCTTGGAGGAGGACTCTACACCCCAGAAGCCAGAGGCCGGGAGACTGGAGTCTGTCACCGTGAGCTCCCTGATAACTACACCCCAGGACCCCAAGGGCCGAGGGTTTGGAGCAGGAAGATCCGCCTCCAAGCTCAGAATTGCCGCGACCTCCCCAGGCCCGCAGGACTCGCCCAGCTCTCCGGCCTCCCCGTGGCGGGAGCGGGTGCTGGCTCCCATCCTGCCGGATAACTTCTCCACACCCACGGGCTCCCGTGTGGACCGCAGGTCAGTGCGGCGCAGCCTGATCGCCCCGTCCTCCCCGGGTCCCCAGGTCTCGCTGGCCCAGAATTACTCCCTGGTTTCCAAAGAGGAGAGCACCGTCCGAAGATCAAGCAGAAGGATTGCCAGGAAGGCCACCAAAGAGCCGGCCGCCTCCGCCCGCATCATCTGTGAGTGTGGGGCTCAGCTCTGGGCAAGGCTGTGGAGGGTGGTCCTTCATGCCCGGCTCAGCCTAAGGGCTCTGGGGACCATTTAGCAAGGAGCTGTCCACAGAACTTTCTGCAGTGGTGTAAGTGTTCCAGATCTGTGCCGTCCTACACTGTAGCCACTAGCTAGCCACGAATGGCTATTGAGCCCTCAAAATGTGGCTCGTTTGATCGAGGAACTGAATTTTTAGTTTTATTACATTTTACATAGTTCAGATTTAAGTTGCCACACATACCTAGTGGCTACCACGTTGGACAGGGCAGATCTAGTCCAACGCTCTTGTTTTACAAATGAGGAAACTGAGGTCTGGGGCCGTTGGCCGCAGTGTCCCTGTGGTTAATGCCATGCTGAGCTTGAACCTGGGCCTCTTCCCCAGGGCCTGCGTGTTCCCCTTCCTTCCTGTGGAGGCTCACTTAGATTCACCATGTTTGTGGGCCATCTCCTGTTAACGTAACTGTTTGGTCTGGCCCCAGCTGTACATTTAAACTGAGGCTTAAGGAGGCTACCAAGTCTGTAAATTGGGAAGAGCCCCACATGTTTCGTCCCTTCTGGGATGGTGGCCGCTTGCTGAGGAGGCCAGGTGGAAAGCCACAGGGCGGGCTTGTCAGGCAGGTGAGGGCACCTCCCTGGGCCCGGTTTCTTCCCCGCCTGGGGAAGGGTTTGCTCCAGGGCCTGGGGCTCAGGGACACACAATCGGGGGCCTGTGCAGACATGCGATCTGGCACACTGTTCATTTTTGGATTCTCAGAAGGGCCCCAGTGATTCTGACCTGCCTTGGAGATTTCCTCAGGTGTGAATCTGATCCTGGGCAGGGGCCCAAGGGGGCGGGCAAGCCTGGAACTCTAGAGGGAGGTTTGGGGAGAGACCCTAGAGGCCCTCCCCATGCTTCTGGTCAGACATCCAGAAGCTCTTCTTAAGCCAGTCCGTTTGCTCGGCCCCCTGCCCTGCACACGGATGGGCTTCTGATTTGATTCGCCTTTGACCCAGTCCTGTGGAAGGAAGACAGTCAAACACAGTGGTTAAGGCTTGGAGTCACACAGAGCCTGGGGGGCCTGGGGCACACCCTTCTCCGAACCTCAGTTTCCCCATGTGTTAAATGGTAAGAACACCTGCCTTGAATGTGGGTAGAGGACCCATCTTAGTGCTTGGCTATGGTACAGCTCAGTCCATCTAAATCAAAACAAAACTGGATGATAAAACTGCAGACGGCCTGGGTCCCTGAAGCTCAGTGGAGGTGTGGCCTGGGTGACCCTCCGGGGCGCTCAAGGGTGTGGAGCAGGGAGGGGAGAGGGGGCTTCCTGGAGGCCTTCCTGACACCCAGGCCCTGGGGCTTGGCTGGGTGGGCAACTCAGAGGTTGGATTTTAGTTTGGGTTACCCCAGAAGCAGCCCTTGATATCAGGATTTGAGTGTAACTTGTTACTGTGGGAGGGGAAGGAAGCACCTGCAGCAGGGGAGCGGGGACGTGAGCTGGGGAGAGAGGACCGCCAGTGACGCCCATAACAGGCCTGGGGCCTCGGGGGAGTCTCTGGAGCCAGTGTGGTGCCCCTCGACCCCCTTCCAGTCCTCCTCCCTGCCCCCAGACCTGTTCTGAAGCCTGAATGGCATGCAGGTGGCACTTAACATTCCAGAGCATTCTTTGCGCTGGTGGAATAGTTGTGCGGTCACATGGGCATCTTCTCACCCTTCTGCCCCCTCATCAGCGAGCCCTGAGCTGGGATGGGAGGCAGGGGATGTGAGCTGTCTCCTGGCTACAGACCCCTCAGGTGGGAGCTGGCCCTCCCACACCTCCAGGCCTGCCTGCCTCACCCCAGGAAGGTCCCTGCTTCCGACCTCGGCTCCCTCAGCCTTAACCTCTGGCCACGCACCTGTGGCCCAGATGCTCCAGCCGAGCCAGGCTTCTTCTGTGCCCAGCAAAGCCTGCTCCTTCCTGCCTCATGGCCTTTGCAGATGCTGTTCCTTCTGCCTAGACTGGCACCTCTCAACTTTTGGCCTCAGCCCCTGCTTCCAGACTTCAAAATTACTGAGGACCCCAAAGAGCTTTTGATTATGAGGGCGCCATCTATTGACAGTTACTGTATTAGAAATTAACTTGAAGGATTAAAAAATTCTTAATATTCATTAATATTTTATTTTTTATATTAATACTACTTACTGTTTTGATATTAAAAGTATTATTTAATACTTTAATATAAAAGTAACAAGCCAATTACCTGTTAAGGTTAGTTGTGTTTATTTTTGTTGGTTTTTTTTTTTAAGAAAAAATAACTTTTCCAAACAAAAATGTGACGAGGAGACTGGCGTTATTCTGCAGTTTGCAGATCCCATTCATGTGTGGCTTAAAAGAAGACAGCTGGGTTCTGCATTCACTCTGTTGCATTGTGTTGTTTGGGTTCAAGTATATGAAGAAAATCTGGCCTTACACAGATACGTAGTTGGAAAAGGGAAGAGTACTTTACAAGCCTTTTCAGATAATGGTGCATATTCTTTTTTTTTTTTTTTCAGATAATTTGTGCATACTCACAAATATGTGGCGTTATGCACATCTTCCAGATGTCGACACACTTCATTATGTATTTTTTCAAGGAGCACATTTGCTTTCTGGTCTCCTCAGAAACATCTTTAGGTATCGGGAAGCTATGAAGTTCATGGTGGTGGATATGAGGTCCAAAATTCTATTTTTGGCTTTTTTGTGGGCTCAGTTTTTTATTCTTGGCAACAAATACTGTTCGTTTTATTTGAAGGGACAGACTCCCTTTGTTTTTTTATTGTTTTTTTTTGCGGTACGCGGGCCTCTCACTGCTGTGGCCTCCCCCGTTGCGGAGCACAGGCTCCGGACGCGCAGGCCCAGCGGCCATGGCTCACGGGCCCAGCCGCTCCGCGGCATGTGGGATCTTCCCGGACCGGGGCACGAACCCATGTCCCCTGCATCGGCAGGTGGACTCTCAACCACTGCGCCACCAGGGAAGCCCCCTTTGTTCATTTTTAAGAAAATGTCTGCCAAATACCCAAGCTTGATTAGCCATAGTTTGTCAGTTGTTCTTTGACTTAAAAACAGCATTCCGTTTAAAAAGGGGCCAGTTCAGCTGAGACCTCAGACCCCTGTGCTTTTCAGAGACTTGGCTATGCAGCCCAAGGGCATTTTTGCATACTTCCTACTTTATCACATAGTGTATTAGAAAGACATGTACTTAAGTTTAGATTTAATAAAATTAATAGTTTTCATTCCTTCACCAAGGACATTCTTAAGTGAAACCAGACGTTTCCGTCCCGAGTGTGGGGTGCAGTTTGGTACCCAGGCTTCGTACTTTACCTCCATTGCTTTCACTGTCTCAGGGCAAATCTCAACACCATGAAAAGGGAAGATAACATTTTGGTGTTATGGTGGAAATAGTTAGGACCTCGTGGGTCCCCCAAAAGGGTCCTCTTGGACACTCGACTTCAAGAACCCCAGAGTACACTTTGAGAACCACTGTCCAGGACATCCTCCTCTCTCCCCTTCCTCCTTTGCGACCTTCTTACCTTCTTACCCTTTACGTTCCAGCCTCCAGACCAGCTCGGCTTCCCAATAGGCTTTTCAAGTCCTCTGCTTGTTTCTGTCATGGCACATGTCACATGTCGGTTACAGGATTATCTGATGATTATCTAGACCAGGTCGTGGCCCAGTCTGGTTTGCTCTCCATTGGGTCCCCAGGGCCTGTGCATGGTATAGACCCTCAACGTATGTTTGTTGAATGAATAAGCTGCTTTGTGTCGGCCTGTGCTGGGAGTTGGAGGCTCAGAGCTGGACATCGTCCCTCTTCCCAGGATACTCCCAACCCAGTGAAGGAGCCAAGACGTGCCCTCAGATGGGCATGTCACCCTCTAGGGGGTAGCAGGAGACATCAAGCCAGCAGCTCTGTTGAGGGTGTTAGGAGTCGAGGGAGTGCTGACGGCAGGGATCTGCACCCAGGGAAGGGGGAGAGGTCTCTGGGGTCGAGAGGGTCTATGTCTAGTGAAAGGAGGGGTCTGCAGGTGGAGAGGGTCTGGCTGCAGATGAGAAGTGGTGGAGCCCCCATCAGAGCCTGGTTCCCTGGACCTCTTGGAGGGGCACCTGGCTGATTCTGAGGGCATCTCTTGTTCCTTTGTTTTCCTGTCAGGCCACAGTTACCTGGAGAGGCTCCTGAATGTCGAGGTGCCTCAGAAAGTGAGGTGAGTTCAGTTCCAGGGCTTGGGGACCTTCCCAGGGCTGGGCAGGGCACACGGGGGGCCCTTTCTAGGTGAGCCCCACAGGTGGAGGCGTTTCCTGTGCTCAAGCCTTCCCTCATCACAGGGACTGCCCCTGGGCTGCCCACCGCTGCCCCCTGCCCCTGCCCCAGTCTTACCAGGCAGTGCCACCCGGGTGTCAGGTCTTCCCGAATTGCTTGTCAACATCGCTTGTCAGTCCTGGCCTCGCCTTGACCCCTCCAAGCCTTACCCTGGGGCCTGGGCTTCATTGCTTTGTCAAATCCAGAGGCCTGTGGATGAGCCAGTGCAGCCGTGAGGAGCCAGTTCAGACTGGGGTGGGTGGCATGGGGGTTGGTGGGGTGCTTCCTGCTCCAGGCTTACACCCCAGCACTGCTTTGAGCCAGCGCTCCTTTTCCTGGAGGCCACGTCCTGCTGTCACTAAAACTATTCCACCACCACCACGACTCCCTGCTCTGGAGCAGAGGGGCAGTGCTTGGGACAGGGAGACCGGTGACTTTGCCGGCGGTGAATGGAGAACGGGCCTCAAAAGAGACGTGGCTCATTCAGGCCCAAAGGGTCGAGACGGAGCTGGGAAAGGGCCGACCTCCCGAATCAAGGCCCTGGTGGAATACAAGCGAAGCCAAATTCAGAAGCTGGCACCGCTCGTCTGCCCAGGCCGCAGACTTAAACCACGGGGCCACTGGCTCCGGCTGCCCATCCTCCCGTCCCTCCTAGGTCGCTACCCCAGGGCGTAGGGGAGGGGCTTCTGCGGGGAGGCTTGGGCTGGGCGGCTCCCACAGTGCCCCCTGCTCTGCTTCCAGCCCCACGGCGGAGGAGCCCAGCAAGGAAGCTGAGCCAGAGGAGGCAGCTGAGCCGGAGGTGAGATGGGCAGGCCAGGGAGGGGCGGGCCTGCGAGTCCCATGTGCAGACCCCTAAAGCCATGGCTCTTCCCTTAGGTCCCCAAGAACAGTGGCAGCGCCTTGCAGCTCCGCAGTGCCACCAAGATCGCCATTAGCACGCCCGGCTTGCAGCCTGCAGCCAGTGGCCAGGGAACGCCCTCTGAAGGGCGGCCGGGTGAGTCTCCTGACCTACAGACCGTCAGGGCCACGCAGGCCGTGATAGCCTCGGCCTGACTTTCTCTTGGAGAAGAGGCAAGCCCGGTTTTCTGGGCTGATAGGCCGAGGGAAAGTGAGACCCAGGGTGCAGCGATCTCCTTCGAGTCTGCACGTTTCATCTCCCACCTTTTGGCTGGAGCCACTGCTGAGTGCCACTGGGTGGCCATGGCTGGTTGGTGCAGGAAGCTGGGGGTGGGACCTGAATTGGGGCGTTAACTCTGAACATGCCAGGTCAAGGCCTGGAGCCTCAATCCAGGGGGGACAGGAGGAACTGTGTCCTGGGGTGTGAACACCTGGCCTCGTGTTCTGTCTCTGTCGCTGGCTCACTTCTCTCCTCTGTGGGTCTCCTGGCTAAAGGGCGTGAGAGCTGTGGGCTCTGGGGCCTGGCCTGCATCTCCCTGGTGGGAGGAGCAGCGTAGCCGTGAGAGCTTGAACACGGCTCCCCCAGCTGCTGGACAGGGTTAGCACAATGGCCATGCCAGCCCCATAGGCCCCAGGGGCTGCCGGGACCCTTTGGAGTAAAGAGTGTTGGAGAGCCGGGGAAGAGATCGGCGCTTCCTCCTGGCGGCAAATTGAAATGTACAGACCCGCACCGCACATGTTGACCCTGCTCAGGAGGCCCCGCCCCCGTGCCAGCCCCAGCTGAAAGGGCCGGGAGGAGTGGGATTTCGAAGCCACTCAAGGGGCCTGTAAGAGCTTGCAGCTTCTGTAGGTTTCTGCCCCCGGCTCTCAGTGTTAGAGGTGGGTGGGATGTGGTTAGGGCCACCTCCATGGGACTGTCCTGCTGTTCTCGCCTCAGAGGCCAGGCCTGGGGGCGAGGGATCTGCGGGCTGCGGGCAGCGTGCCAGCTCTGCGCGTCCACAGAGGGGTCACAGCCGGGCAGTGCTAAGCCTGATGCTTCTGCTCCTGGCTACCCTGGGGTCTGCCGGGAAGAGAGCCTCGCCCCTGCCACGGCCACTGCTGGTGGGCGTGTTCCCCTGGCCCCTCCGTGCTCTCCCGATCGCCCCCCTGAAACCGCTTTCTCCACAGAGGCCAAGACTGACCAAGCAGATGGCCCCAAGGAGCCGCCTCAGAGTGTCAGGTTCGCATGCGGGAAGGCGTGTGCAGGCGACCATTTTGAGGGGCCCAGAGGGGCACGAACCTTGAGTCCTCCCTCGGGAAGGGTGGGCATGTGGTCAGGGACCTCCGTGTCCTCTCAGCAGGGGTGGGGACTGGCGCTCTCACTTAATAACAGAGGTGGCTGCAGGCTGTGGGAGGAGCCTGGCCTGGGGGTGGGCCACGGGATCCCAGACCCCCATCCTCCTGTGTCCTGGCCGTGTGACCTTGGACTGGTCACTCCCCTTCCTCTGACTGGGCGGCAGAGGGTTGGTCAGGGAGCCCCCACCTCTGCAGTGCCTTTCAATCTGGAGCCCCGGGGGCTGGGCCCAGTTCCATTCACAAGGGGGACCTTTTCTGGGGCGTGACAGGGGGCGCTGGGGGGGACGCGAGGGCGGGCCCTGTGACACTGCTGCACCCGCACGCCGGCAGGAGGAAGCGCAGCTACAAGCAGGCCGTGAGTGAGCTGGATGAAGAGCAGCAGCTGGAGGATGAAGAGCTGCAGCCCCCCAGGAGCAAGACCCCTTCCCCGCCCTGTCCCGCCAGCAAGGTGAGTGTGCGTCTGCCCTCCCTCCGCCCCCTGCCCCGCCCACGGGCTCTGACCCTGGTCCCTCTGCAGGTGGTGCGGCCCCTCCGGACCTTCCTGCACACCGTGCAGAGGAACCAGACGCTCATGACCCCGACCTCGACCCCTCACAGCAGCGTGAAATCCTTCATGAAGCGCAACACTCCCCTGCGCGTGGACCCCAAGGTGAGGGCGGCCTGGCTGAAGGCTGCAGCATGTCCCCAGGCTGCTGGGAGCAGCGGGGGCCTGGGCCAAGGCGGGTGTGACCTGGCACTGGTCAAGAACCAGCTTGAGCCTCTGTGGCCCTGGGCTACCTCGACATCTGGAGACTGTCCTGACTCCTTGGGCTCTGCACTGCAGCCTAGAGGCTCGGCCGGCTCAGGGTGACCTCCCGGGTCTGGGATCCGGGACTGGGAAGTGGCAGAATTGGCCTGGCTGGCCACCGCCGTGGCCATCCATCCCCAGGTACCGCCCCCATTCCCTCCCGGCGGCCTGAGTAGTTAAGGTGAGGGACTCACGTGGACGCTGACCTGGGGATGAGGCCTGGGTGACGTGAGAGGAGTGGTGGCGCTGGGAGAGGGCGCAGGCCCCAAGCAGACTCACTGGCGTCTTCAGGAGCGCGGCCTGCTTTCCAGGATGCCCTCCACCTGGCATTAACTCTTGGCTTTTTCCTTGTCTCCTCTCCTCCACAGTGCAGCTTTGTTGTAAGTAAAGCCTTTCCCTGTCCTGTAACCTAGCTCCACCCAGCACTTACCCGCCATAGCCCTGTCCCTGCAAAACTGACAGCACTTGTAGAGGCACTAACATCATCAGTGGGAGCGTTAAGGGGGCCGGGAGGTGGGAGGTGAGCTAGAGTTGCTGGCTAGCTGGCCCGCCGGCCCTGCAGTTCTGGAGCCGATGTCCTGCCTCTGCAGAGCCTGCCCAGGAGGATGAGAGGGGGTGTGGTCCCCAGGCAGGAGGAAGCAGAGGGGGTGTGACCTGCGATGGGTCACCAGGGCCACATCTTGCAGTGTTCCCCCCCAGCCACGTCCCTCCCACCTCCCCGGTGCCGGGCTTGCCCTCAGGGTCTGGGGCTGCAAAGAGAATAGACAAGGCATCTCTGATCCCAGGCCACCGAGATTTACAGGACCGCAGACCTAAGCTGCTGCCTTGAGGGGTGGGGCAGTGGGGAAAGGAGATCTGGGTCTGCTGGGTAATGGTGGAACTGTCAGTGCCATCCTCCAGAAAGAAGGCCACAGAAGCTGTTCTCTTCTCAGATACCCCAGAGCTGAGCTGGACCACCGGCTGCGTGCAAGGAGCCATGGGGGCCTGGGACCTGCTCGGCCCACAGTCCCAGCTCCCAGGGTCTCCCGAGCAGCTGCAAGGTTGCATCCCCCTGAGTCCTTTAGTGTCCACTGGCACTTTGAAGGGCCACCTACCTGGAGGGCTTCTGCCTCCAACCAGGGGTCTTAGGGCCCCAGGAGCACTGCCGTGGAGCTTGACAAATCAAGAGGCTGCCCAGCAGCTGGACAGGCAGGTCCTGAACTGGCCTCTCCTGCAAGAAGGCTGGTCCCATCTGGGTGGACAGGGCCATGGCGTGTCATCCAACATGCCAGCAAGCAGGCTGTGTGGTTCTTATGTACCTGTCTTTGTGCCAGGGCCCTACTAGGCACCTGGGCCCACAGCAGTGAACCAGCCTTGGACTTTTTCCTCCTACAAGGAACTACCTGTGCCCCACCCAGACTGATTGGGGCCTTGCAGGAATGACCAAGAGGTTCAGGAAGCTGCCCTTTCCTGCTTTGGGGAGCCCAGGTCCCTGCATGCGACATCTGCGTGGGTGGGACAGTCCTCAGGAGGCCAGGGGACCTGCCTAGGTAGGTCGCTGTGGCATTGGACTGGTTTCCTAACCTTTGGGCCTAAATTTCCTTGGCTACAAAGTGTGGAGACAGAGGTTCATTCAGGGAGATTGGATGAACCAGGGAGTAGTAGCGAGTGTCAAGCACCCAGCACGTGGATTGGCATGAAGTGGTTGTCTGATGGATGGCAGAGAGGCTGCTCATTTGAGACCCCTGGAGGCAGAAGGGGCTGCACAAGCTTTTGGATCCCTCCCACCCTCTGCTTTGGGCTTGATGGTGGCCCCTGGGGAGCAGCCCACCTTCCAAGGTTGGGGCAGAGAGGAAGCACGGATTCTACGACCTAAGAAACTCTTGTTTTCTTCTATAAAATTCACGGTGCAACAGGATAAATTCTCTGACCTGGGCTGGGAAATCCTAATAGTCAAGCTTCAGGACAAAAGCCTGTTTTGCTGAGCCCTGCTGAGAGTAGGAATCTGGGGGCAGGACGAGAGGGTGGTGAGCGCTCTGGGTGCCACGTGGCCTTTGTTCCCCAGGTGCTTTCCTCATAGGCCAGCGGGCGGTGTGGCCTCTTGCTGGGTTTCCCTGGGTCCGTGTGGTTGGAGAGCACAAAGCCACCTGCTCCCTCCCTGAGGGGTCCTCCCAAAGGCCAACATCCTCCTCCAGCCTGGCTTCCTACCCCAGCTTGGCTTCTATGACTCATGATCATCTCTCTCCATTTCTCTTTCCATCTTTAAAAAAAAAAATTTTATATTAAAAAACATTTTACAGTAAAATTTATGTTAAAAATTATCATACAGTGAAATCTATACTTTGTGAAAGCATAGGTTTATGTAACCACTACAACAGTTGGGATGCAGAGCAGTTCCATCACCCCACAAGACTCCCTCCCCCACCCCTACCGCGTGTTCTTCATCACTATAGTTTTGTCTTTTTGAGAATGTCACATGAGTGTAATCATGCAACAGGTGACCTCTTGAGATTGGCTTACTCAGCATAATGCTTCTGAACTCAGTCGTTACATTTGAATTCAGTTTCTTGTAGACAGCATATAATTGAGTCAGGGTGGTTGTTTTGTTTCTTTTTAAAATCTAACAGTGTCTTATTTGATATATTTAGTGGTATGTTTCAATTTATGTCTACTGTTTTATTATTATTGGCTGTTACCTTTGTTTTTTTCTTCTGTCTCCCCTTTCTTGCCTTTTTTGGGGTCCCGTAACGTTTTTTAGTATTCCATTTTAATTTGTCTCTTGCGATTTGGACTATATCATTTTTAGGGTTTTTAATGGTTGCTTTGAGGCATTACATACTTAACTTTCACAATTACTTTAGCATCAGTATCTTTTTTTTTTTTGCATTACGTGGGCCTCTCACTGTTGTGGCCTCTTCCATTGCGGAGCACAGGCTCCAGACGCACAGGTTCAGCGGCCATGGCTCACGGGCCTAGCTGCTCCGCGGCATGTGGGATCTTCCCGGACCGGGGCACGAACCCGTGTCCCCTGCATCGGCAGGCGGACTCTCAACCACTGCGCCACCAGGGAAGCCCAAGCATCAGTATCTTATCAGTTGAATTGGAATGTAGAAACCTTACCACCTATAGATGCCTTGACTTCCCACTGTGTGTGATCCTTGTCTTACATATTCCATCTCCATACATCGATGACTCCAGCAGAATAATTTTTGCTTTCAACTGTCAAACATTTTAAAGAAACTCAAGAGGAAAAGAAGTCTTGATATTTACCCAGGTATTTGTCATTTCTGTTCTTCATTCTTGAAGCTTCACCTTTCCTTCTGGTATTATTTCTCTTCTGTCTGAAAAACTTCCTTTAGCAATTCTTTGAGAAGTCTGCTGGCAACAAATTCTTTAGTTTTCCTTTATTTGAGAAAGTTTATTTCCCTTCATTTCTGAAGGATATTTTCACTGAATATAGGTAGAGTTCCGGATTAACAGTTCTTTCCTTTTAGCAGTCTTAAAATGTGCTCCTTCCGTCTGGCCTCCAAACTTTCTGATGAGAAATCCCCAGTCATTCAAATCATTGCTCCCTGATAGATAATGTGTCTTTTTTCTTCTGGTGCCTGCTTTTCAGAATTTTTTTTCCTTTGTTTTAATATTAAGTTTTTAGCAGTTTGATTCTTTTGTGGCTGGACATGGGTTTCCTTGGGTTTATCCTGTTTGGGTTTTGATGACCTTCTTGAATCTGTAGATTTATATCTTTCAGCAAAGCTGGACATCTTCAGCCATTATTTCTTCAAGGTTTTGGGGTTTTTTTCAGTACTTCATAGACTTTTTTTTTTTTTTTCCCACACCACACGGCTTGCGGGATCTTCCCCAACCAGGGATTAAACCCAGGCCACCGCAGTGAAAGCCCAGAATCCTAACCACTAGGTCACCAGGGAAGTCCTCATAGAACTTTTGTTGTCATCTCACAGTTCCCTCAGGCTCTGTTAATTTTTCTTCCGTATATTTTCTCTCTGTGTTTAGATTGGATAAATTTTGATTTATCTTCATGTTTTCTCCATTCTGCTCTTGGATCTGTCCACTGAATTTTTTTTTTTCAGTTATTGTATTTTTAGTTCCAAATCGCCATTTGCTTCTTCTTTAGATCTTCTAGTTGCTGAGATTTTCTGTTTTTCCAGTTGTCTTAAGAGTGCTGTGATTATTTGTTGGGGCATTTTTGTCAGAGAATTCCAACCCGACATCTTGGCATTGGTGTCTGTTGATTGCCTTTTCCCGTGGGAGTTGAGATTTTCCTGGTCCTTGTATGCTTAGTAATTCTGGATTGCAGCCTGCACATTTTGAATATGATGTTAGGAGACTCTGGGTCTTGTTTAAATCTTATGGAGACTGTTGATAGTTTGCTTTAGCAGTAACCCACTGGTTCTGGCTGTGGTTCCAACCTGCTTTCTGTGGCCTGTGGTTCCAATGTCCATTCAGATTTCAAAGCCTTTACAGTGCTCTTTGGATCTGTCGTGGGTGTGCCAGTCAGCGGTCCGTCTGGGATCTGGCAGGTGGCCCGTGAGTTTAGTTCTCAAAGTTTCAGGTGTGATAGTTCGGGTCAAATCCAAACATCTCCAGTTTGATGCTGCGCCCGGGAGTTCATAAAAACCTTATGGTATTACTTTCTCAATCTATCCAGTACTTTCCTCTTCTCTGGGGCTCCCCCTTTCTGCCCCCCAGCCAGGAAGCTGGGGCCTTAGTTGTTTTGCTCTGCTGTGTGCTCCCCTAACCACGTGGAGGGCCTCCGGCTGGGAGACAGAAAGAAAGGCAACAGTGTTTCCCAGCATTTTGGGATCACAGCTCCATAGTGTGGCATGGAAGGTTCTCCTCCTTGAGTTTTGACTCTGCAGGTTCCAGTAACTGCTGCTGTCCCCGTTGCCACAGGATTGCTTGTGGGCCAGAGCATGAGAGAAGGGAGAAAAGAGGGAAAAAACCATAGTGTTTTGAGTCAGAACCAGAGGGCTCTTCCCGGAGTTCTGTCAGCACCTCGGTGATCTCTTTGGGGTCTCAGGCTTCACTGAGTTAGTGCTGGAGGGAAAAAAAAGCATTCAGCTCATTGCTGGTTCGGTGATGCTTCAAAGTTTGGTCTCCTTCCCCAGTCTGCCTGCGGCTATTTACCTTGCAGAGGCCTCAAATAACTGCTCCGTGCATTCTGTTAGGTTATACAGCCACATGTAGTGGGAGAGACAGATGGGAGTGTCTACTCCATCTCACCCAGAACCGGAGCCCTTCTCTCCATCTTTAGGATGGTATTACCTCGGGGCCAGATTTCTAGGTGGGAAATCTGTAGTCAAGGTCAGTGGCCAAGGAGAAATGGACAGTAAGGCCGATGGGTGGCTTAGCCCAGAGGTGGTGTCTAATGGGAGCCAGGTTGGGGTGAGGGGTGGGCCTCTAGTCCAGGTCCCAGCTTCTACCCTTATCCCCTGACCGTTACTGGTAAAGCACCAGTCTCGTCCTTGGCCAGGGAGGGCTTGGAGGCCCCACCTGTCCTGCTGGTTGCCTACTGCTATGGCCATGCCCCTGGGGCTTTCTGGGCCTGTGGAGGAGGAGGGTACCAGCATCGATCTGCTGAAGCAACTAGGACTTTTAAAAAGTTGTCTTTGAAATTTGTATGTAGCCGTATCACAAGAAGTTTGGAAAATGAAGGGGAAAAAAATGCCATACCTAATCAGTGTCACCAGCCTATATAGTAACCTCTGTTAGCATTTGACAGTATTTTCTTTTTTTTTCAGCTGTTAGGAAAGAGTCGATACACTGTGTGTGTGTGTGTGTGTGTGTGTGTGTATACACTCGTAAAAGTTATAAAGCATAATAATAAAAAATTAACACATGTGTACCCATCCACCCCCATAAATAGAACATTAACCGTAACTTTCAAAGCTGCCTTTCTGTCCCTTCCCAATCTGGTTCTTTTTTTCTTATTATTATTACTTTTGGCTGCGTTGGGTCTTTGTTGTTGCATGCGGGCATTTTCTACTTGTGGCGAGCAGGGGCTACTCTTCCTTGCGGTGCGTGGGCTTCTCATTGCGATGGCTCCTCTTGTTGCAGAGCACAGGCTTTAGGCACGCGGGGTCAGTAGTTGTGGCTCGCGGGCTCTAGAGCGCAGGCTTGGTAGTTGTGGCGAGCGGACCCAGCCGCTCCGCGGCGTGTGGGATCTTCCCGGACCAGGGCTTGAACCCATGTCCCCTGCATTGGCAGGCGGATTCTCAGCCACTGCACCACCAGGGAAGTCCCTCGTTCTTAACTCTTTTATCAAATATAACTTTTTATATAGTTATAACCTCTGCTAACAGAGGTTACTATAGGCTGGTGAAGTAGATTAGGGATGGCATTTTTTTCCTTTATATTCCAAACTTCTTGTGATGTGGCTATATAATAATTTCAAAAACAACTTTTTAAAAGTACTAGTTGCGGGCTTCCCTGGTGGCGCAGTGGTTGAGAGTCCGCCTGCCGATGCAGGGGACACGGGTTCGTGCCCCGGTCCGGGAGGATCCCACGTGCTGCGGAGCAGCTGGGCCCGTGAGCCATGGCCGCTGAGCCTGCGCGTCCGGAGCCTGTGCTCCGCAACGGGAGAGGCCACAACAGTGAGAGGCCCGCGTACCGCAAAAAACAAACAAACGAGAAAAGTACTAGTTGGTTCAGCAGATCAATCTGAATCATCCAGTCTTGAGCCTGACTTTTGTGTTGCCCACACCTTGGCAGGGCTCAGGTGAGGGCACTCGTGACTCAGGCCCTTGGGAGGCCTGTGGGGTCGTCCTGGCCCAGTGCGGGGCTGCCCTCACTCCCCCACCGCCACCCCCCCAGGCGAAGGAGCGGCAGCGCCTTGAGAACCTGCGGCGGAAGGAGGAGGCCGAGCAGCTCCGCAGGCAGAAGGTGGAGGAGGACAAGCGGCGCCGGCTGGAGGAGGTGAAGCTGTAAGTGCCCGCGCCCCCCCTCCGGCTCCCCCGGCCTTGCTGGGCCCCCATGACCACCCTGTGCCCGCAGGAAGCGTGAAGAGCGCCTCCGTAAGGTGCTGCAGGCCCGGGAACGGGTGGAGCAGATGAAGGAGGAGAAGAAGAAGCAGATCGAGCAGAAGTTTGCTCAGATCGACGAGAAGACGGAGAAGGTGCAGGCCTCGGGCTGTGGGCAACAGCTTCCGCGGGCTGTGCCCTGGCGGGACCCAGGCCCATCACACTGGGTGGCCCGAGGGTTAGGACTGGACCCGTCGGGAAGTTACGGGTTTGATGCCCTGTATCCCTCTCGTGGCCGTCCGTGGGGTCTGTTCTGAGCCACGTGGAGGGTGGAAGGTCTGCCCGGGACCGAGCACAGCCCTGCGCTCCTGGCAGGTCTGGCTCCCGGGTACCCCCTCCCCCGGGCTGTGGGGAGCTAGCCGGGGCCCCAGGGACATGGAGTATCTGCCCTGCTGCGTACTGGGCCCCACCCTGTACGGCTGAGTGGCGGGGGGCTGCTCCAATGGGCGTCTGTGGGTGGGCTCCGCAGGCCAAGGAGGAGCGGCTGGCCGAGGAGAAGGCCAAGAAGAAGGCGGCGGCCAAGAAGATGGGGGAGGTGGAGGCGCGCAGGAGGCAGGAGGACGAGGCGCGGAGGCTCAGGTGGCTACAGCAGGTATGCACGCCGGGCTCACGCAGCAGGAGGACGGCACTGCCTCCGTGCCCCTGGACCGCTGGGCTCACCCCCCTGTGTCGGGTTGATCTTGGTGGGTCTTGCTGCCTTGAGCTCACAAGGAGGTTTAACAAAGGTCATGGAGGTGGGGACGGGGACGGTGACCCGCCTTGTGTTTTCTGTAGAGGCAGCAGTTTGAGGGTTAAGTGCATGGACTCTGGAGCCAGACTTCCAATCTCAGTTCTGCCATCTATTAGCTGTGTGACCCTGGGTGGGTTATTTGACCTCTCTGTGCTTTGGTTCCTTCAGGTAGCAGTGGTATCTACTCGATAGGGTTGTTGCGAGGATTAAACGTTCTGCCTCTTAAGATTACGGGCCCACCTCTTCCTGGGAACTGTCGGTCTTATGACTCTAGGGAGCACAAATCTGGCATGAGGGGGTTATAAGACTAATGGCTAAAATTTATGGAGTATTTACATTGTGCCAGGCACTGTTCTAAGTGCGTCATGTGTATAAACTCAGCAGTCTTAGGAGGCGTGGGCGTGACTGTTGTCCCCATTTTATCAATGAGGGTAAAACCGAGGCCAGAAGGCTTCTGTGACTCGCCTTGTGTCACCCAGCTCATGAGTTTGGCTCCGTCCGGTCTGTACCCTTAACTACTAAATCTGCTGCTGCGGCAAAAGGAGTTGTCGCAAGACACTCCTCAAGCCGGCTGCAGTGGTCCTCGTGGATGGAGCCTCGTATGGGGTGTCCCTGCGCTCAGCCCCTGCTGTTCTTTTTTTAAATTTATTTATTTATATTTATTTCTTTAAATTTTGGGCTGCGTTGGGTCTTCTTGCTGCACGGGCTTTCTCTAGTTGCGGCGATTGGGGGCTACTCTTCGTTGCAGTGCACGGGCTTCTCATTGCGGTGGCTTCTCTTGTTGCGGAGCCTGGGGTCTAGGTGCACGGGCTTCAGTAGTTGTGGCACACAGCCTCAGTAGTTGTGGCGTGTGGGCTCAGTAGTTTTGCTGCACAGGCTTTAGTTGCTCCGTGCATGTGGGATCTTCCCGGACCAGGGCTCGAACCCGTGTCCCCTGCATTGGCAGACGGATTCTCAACCACTGCGCCACCAGGGAAGTCGGCCCCTGGTGTTCTTGACACGAGAGGAGCTTCTGGGACGGACAGGCCCTCCGGCCAGCCGCTCCTCCCCCCACCCCCCCTTCCTCCCAGACCCGCTCTTGCCTCTCCAGCCCAGGCTGGCCTGCGAACCCTGACCTTGCTCTCTGGTCACAGGAGGAGGAGGAGAGGCGCCACCAGGAGCTGCTGCAGAGGAGGAGGGAGGAAGAGCAGGAGCGGCTGCGGAAGGCGGCCGAGGCCAAGAGGCTGGCGGAGCAGCGCGAGCTGGAGCGGCTGCAGGCCGAGAGGTGAGGCGTCGCGGAGGCCCAGCGCCCAGGTGACCTTGCGGCGCCTTGCCGTCACGTCAGCCGTCCTCCTGTGCACATGTGTGGCTGCCACACAGATGTAGCCGTCACCTAGAGGCAGCTCCCGCCTTCGCTCGGGAGTTTGGAAAAGAAGGACAGGCTTTCTTCCTGGCTCCAGACAAGGCGAACCCCCCAAACGTGGTGTGTTGGCTGCTGGAGATTCAAGGAGTAACGGGCAGGGTTGCTTGGGATTGTGTCTCTGTTCTGCTTCCAACCGGATGAGCTGAGTTTGTTCTTTTCTCAGCTGACATAAGGGGGATGGGGGACCGCAGGACGAGCCAGCATTTCTCAGCAGCCACTGAGGGCCTTTGGGTGGCAGAGTCAGGCCACCACGTGCTGTGATTCATTGCAGGGCCTTCGGCACCCCTGGCTCGTGCCCACCGCTCGTGCTCCTCTGGGGCTGGTGATGACTCGGGCTGCCCCCCCACCAACATTTCCCTACTGTCCCGCCTCCCTCCAACTGGGGACCGTGGCAGATGAGCCCTCGCAGAGGCAGTGGTTCCACAAGCGTTTAGTTCCACAAGCATTTATCCAAGGCCAGTCCCTGTGCCAGGTTGTGCTGGGTCCTGGGGATGCCAAGGAGGATAAGCCTCCGTCACCACTGGCCAGGAGATATGTGGGATCCTATGCCTGGGTGCAGACGCAGACTCCGCCCGTGTGCGTGTAGACTCTCGGGTGGGCCCAGGCCCAGGCCTGGCCTCTCTCCTGCTTCCACCCGCTGGGAAACACCAGGCAGCACTTCCTTCCGTGCCCGTCTTTGTGGGTGGCTACAGGCCCAGTGCAGAAGGAGGTGGGTCACAACCAGGGGGCTGACTGCGTCAGGGCCATCGTGTCGTTTGGCACAAAGGGGTCCCTGGCCCTGTGGGCAGAGTCGGAGACGGGAGTCTGGGAGGGCACAGAGGGCGGCATCTGATGTAGCTTTAGAATTGGACGTGTGCCGGGCAGCGCCAGGGGCTTCAGCGGGTGGCGACCGTCATGACGTTTTGGCAGCTTGGGCGGGTACCGAGCCACACGCTTTCCACACATTTCCTTGTTTAATCCTCACCTGAAGACACCTGCAGCGTGGGTACCAGCTGCTCCACTTCCCGGAGGGGGACACAGGTCCAGAGAGGTTCCGTGACTTGTTCAGGGTCATGAGCGAGTGAGTGCAGGTGGCTCTGAGCCGTGAACGGCCCCTCCCTGCTTCGTGTCAGGCTTGGGGCCGGGTGTTGGCCTGTGGGTCAGGACGAGTGGCGGTAGCTCAGATGACCTCATTTTGTTCTCGTGGCAGCTCTGGAGGAAAGGTGTTATGTTCCCCATTGTTCAGCAGGCAAGACTGAGGCACGGAGGTCTAAGTGGTGTGGAGGTGCGGGGCCCAGTTTGGCGGGCCTCGGGGCTGAGTGCTCCCAGACCCTCGGCTGAGCGCTCCTAGCCCCTTGGGCGCGAACACAGCTGCTGGCTCTTCGCTGGCGTGACCGTCCTGCCATTCCCTCTTCTGCGGCATGTGCCAGGGCTCTGGCTTCCCTGGCAAGGGTGGAACGGGGCCGGGCCTCGGCTTCCTACCCTGACAGGCTCTTGCTCGGTCCTCAGGGAGCTGCAGGAGAGGGAGAAGGCCCTGCGGCTACAGAAGGAGCGGCTGCAGAGGGAGCTGGAGGAGAAGAAGAAAAAGGTAAAGGGGAGCCGGGCCTGTGGCTCCCACGGGGTCTGCCCTGAGCTTTGGGCTGGGAGACCTGGTCCAGGGGCCCTGGTACAGGAGCCGCCCTGCCTGCCTCACTGCGCGGCGTTGGTGGGGGGGGGAGGGGAGAACGCACACGTGGTCTGTGACATCCCGCCCTCCGCCGGGGTCCCAGGAAGAACAGCAGCGCCTGGCTGAGCAGCGGCTGCAGGAGGAGCAGGAGAAGAAAGCCAGGGAGGCCGCGGCGGCCAGCAAAAGCCTGAACGTGACCGTGGACGTGCAGGTGAGGCCCGGGCATCAGGGTGGAGAGGGCCCCCTGGCTCTCATTATTCTCTTCCCGGTAGCCGGAGGCACAGGCTGTTGTATGTATTAGGACCATAAGAAAGTGGAAGGATACAGTTGGCCCAATTGTTTTTTTACTATATTTGAAATATATCTTCTTCCTTATTCTGAAAGTAGAATTTGTTGTAAAAAAAAAAAAAGAAAAAAGAAAAGAAACTAAACTTTATAAAAGGATATAAAGCAAAAGAAAGGTACCCCCAGAGGGAAAGTCTAAGTCTGGTGTATATCTTTCTATATTTTATGTGTAAATACATTTTATACACACACTTTCTCTCACACACACATATACATAGTTTTAAATGGGCACAGACTATCCATACTGTCTTAGTCTGTTCGTGCTGCTACAACAAATTACCCTAGACTGGGTGGCTTAAACGACAGACACGCTGGGAAGTCCAGGGTCAAGGCGCTGGCAGATCCAGTGTCTGATGAGAGCCCTCCTCTGGTTCACAGATGGCCGTCTTCTCGCTGTGTCCTCACATGGCCAAAGGGGAGAGGGAGCTCTCTTTTCTAAGGGAACTAATCCCATTTTTGAGGGCTCTGCCCTCATGACCTGAGTACCTCCCAAAGGCCCCGCCTCCAAATACCATCACATCGTGGGTTAGGATTTAACATGGGAATTTGGGGGGGATACATTTAGTCCACAACACACACCATTTGACAGTTTGATTTTTTCTCATTTTTTTTCCTTTCATTTAATGTATCCTAGACGTCTGTCTGTTTCACCGCTTGTAAATCTCTTACTTTTGACCGCTGTGACCAGTCCCTAATGACAAGCATTTAGCCTGTTAATGCTGTTACAAACAAAATGTAATATAAGGTTTTCATTGCAACACCATTTAAGACGTTGAAAACTTGGAAGTTAGCTGAACCACATGGTTAAATTACAAATCGTGGGGTTCCCAGTGAAGTGCCCTGCTGCGGGTCACAGGACACACACTGACACACTAACCTAGAAGGATGTTTACAACATACTTTCACATGAAAAAGGAAGACATGGAGCCATGTATATGGTGTGATTTTTTTTTTTTTTTTTTTTTTAAATTAAAAAGCGACCCCTGAACCTTTTTCTTTTTTCCCGTGAAATGAGGGGAGGTGGCCAGGGCCCCATGCTCCTCAGTGGCGGGAGGTGCCAGCCTGCAGGGCAGGCAGCTGAAGGCCTTGTTCATCTTTTCCAGTCTCCAGCTTGTACCTCGTATCAAATGACCCCACAGGGACACAGGGCGCCCCCCAAGATCAACCCAGATAACTACGGGATGGATCTGAACAGCGATGACTCCACCGATGACGAGGCCCATCCCCGGAAACCCATCCCCAACTGGGCCAGAGGTGTGCAGGGCCCGGAGCTCCCCAGGAGAGCTGGGTCCCCACTTGTGACTTCGAGCCCTGGAGGGGGTGGCTCAGCGGCTGCGGGGTTCAGGAGCCCGTTGTACCCATGGGCTGGCAGCTTGAGTCCTTGGCCGACAAGTCTGCATCGGGCCTCGGGATGCGCCTGGGAAAGGGTGGGCGCCCTGTGGCCAGCGGGCTCATCTGAGGACCAGACCTGGACGTTGGGCGCTTCCATTCTCAACAGATACATTAGATTTCAGCTGGCTGCTGGCAGGCGTGGTGCTGGGTGTTCCACCTCAGACTCTATCTGGCTGCCCCTTTGGAGTCCCGCGCAGCAGGCCACAGGGACCCAAATATGCTGCCTGGGGGTGGGAATAGAGCTAAGGGTAGTGGGGTTTCAGCAGCGCACAGAGCTGGAGCAAGGGGTTCCAGCCAGCTGGGGGAGTTGGAGATGGGGATGGGGGTACTTGAGGCCCAGCAGGATGGGACGCTGAGTTTACAGGCCTCTAAACAGGAGTGTGGGTAAGTGTGAAGGTGCCACCTCAGGCCTGGGTGCAAGGCCTGCGGGGAGTGAGCAGGGCCAGCGCCTGCAGCGGCTGCCTTACAGAGTTGGCCGAGCTGGGGTCGGGGCGGGCTGCAGTCTCACTCCCTGGAGGAAGGGCCAGAACCCTGGAGGGGATCAGCGCTGTACAGAAGAGAGCTTGCTTTGTGAGTTTCACCTCATCTGAACCCCACAGTGACTGGAATCCGACTTCGTCTCCTTAACGTCCAGTCATTCCGGAGGTGGCAGCGGGCAGGGGTCAGCGTGGCCGGGGAGCCCTTGACCTTTACCAGCCTACTTAAACTCTCACTTAGTTTTCCCATCTGTGGAATTGGGGTGCTTAGAGCACCCAGCTGAGAAGGGCTATCGAGGATGAAGTGAGTTAGCGTAGGAAGGCCTGGTGCAGGGCAAGTGCCGGGCACACATTCTGCTTCCTGACCCCCCCGGGGTCCTCCTCAGCCTCGCTGGCCAGGCTCTGAGCCACCGGCAGTGTCAGCCTGCACCAGGCATCGCGGGGCTGTGGTGCTGACGAGATGAGTAGCCAAGCAAGGCAGCCGAGGATGGCATCAGATGCTTTGGCTCTGGAGCTGGACTTGTCTTCAAATCCTGGCTCTGCCAGTCTCTAGCTGTGTGCCTCTGGGCAGATCTCACCCTTGTAAACGGGCGGGTAGAGGGCCTGCCTCCGAGGTGGCTGTGGGGATGAGGGGGTCATGCAGTGACCTCAGCCGAGCGCCTGGCTCACGTGAGTTGCTGGAGAGCAGCTGTAGGAGCGCGCAGTGAGAGGTTATCCGTGTTTGGTTGGGGGGGGGGGGGCGGCGGCTGGAGGAGGGCCCTGAGAGGAGCTGATTTGACAGGAGGTGAAGGAATGCTGAGGTGGAGAGGGTGCCGAGGGCTCTTTGTGGGGGGCAGGGGGAGCCCCAGGGTAGTGACCCAGCCCTTGGTGTCCTCCTGCAGGCACCCAGCTTAGCCAGGCCATCATCCACCAGTACTACCACCCCCCGAACCTTCTGGAACTCTTCGGAACCATTCTGCCACTGGACTTGGAGGACATCTTCAAGAAGAGCAAGCCCCGCTACCATAAGCGCACCAGCTCCGCCGTGTGGAACTCGCCGCCCCTGCAGGGCACCAGGGTCCCTGGCAGCCTGGCCTACAGCCTGAAGAAGCACTGAGCCAGGCCCTCGGGCCTGCTCGGCAGCCTCAGCCTTCATCTGTGTCTGTATGTCTGTGTCTCTGTTGGTCTGGTGCCATCCTGCCTTGTATCCTGTCGCTGAGGGTTCGGTCAAGTGTATATAGACGTCCTCTGTGGGCTACAGGGGGAAGGCGGCTCAGGCCTGTTGGGAGGCCGAACTTGTTGGGTGTTCGGGGAAGACCCAGGGCCAGCCTTGTCTGGTCTGCTGACAGCACTCTGTAAATAGATTGTTAGAGTTCAACTGAATTTTAGCCTCTAGTGTTTCAGAGCTAGATTAATAAAGTCTGTTCCTTCATGCCTGCTGTGAGTATCATGAAGACTGCGCTTCTCTGCAGAAAGCCCCGGACCCTGGCCCCGTCTCGGGCCGCTGGATGGGCTGGAGGAATAGGACCTGCTTTTTCTCCTGGGGTGTGCGTCAAGGCCACCTGGGTCCCACCCCCAGAGATGCCGACGGAGTGGGTGATTCTGATGCCACCCTGGACAACCCTGAGAAACACTTCAGTTATTTTCATGTTGGGGCAGGTGACGCTACTTCCTGTTTTTCTGGGGAGCGCCCTGCCTGTAGAGGGGGGCTCATTCAGTGGGTAAGACCTGGAGTTGAGGTCGGGGGAATTGGGCTCTTGACACAGCTCCGCCGCTTAAGAGAGGCCCTCAGCCCCTCCACGCCTCAGGCTCCACCCACCCTTGCTGCACGGATGGTGAAAGGACTTGAGAACGCGGACGTGCTGCTGAAGCAGGAGATCTGGATTAGGAAGGGGCCGTCTCTTGAAACTACCTCGGGACCAGTACGTGCAAGTAGTTGAGATGTTTCTCCAACAAATCCAGGCAGCTGCTAATTAAATGCTTAGTGTCCATGGAAGCTGGCCCTGCCCCATCGCTGCCAACCATGTTCTAAACGTGCCACAGCTTCATCATCTCTTACTCCAGCCCCTGGAATGGGGGTTGGTGAATTTGGGCCTATGGGCCAAATCAAGTCGCAATCCATTTTTGTAAAGTTTCATTGGAACCCGCCCAGTAGAAATGAATGCCTCTTGTCTCCGGCTGCTCTGCTGAGGGCAGAGTTAAGTAGTTACAACAGAGGCCTTATGGTTCGCAAAGCTGAGAATATTCACTATGAACCTTTACAGAAGATGTTTGCTGACCCTGCTTTAGGACAAAATCAAGGCTGAATATGAGAGCTTTTTAAAATGAGTAAAGAGTGAATGCACACAACAGAATGAAATCTAGAAGATTCCACCACGCAAAGAAAAACATTTTACAGTTCATTCAAATACGGTGCGAATTTAAATTTGTTCCATATGTTCTCTGATGAGAAACTGTTGTGTTGAGTCAACTGGTGAATGTGTCTTTGCCTGAAACCACAATGTCAAAATATTACCTCTTATAAAAGCATATTTACATAGTGTGTTTGAGAAAAAAATTGTTATTCAGCCAAAAGGTAGTTACAGGTTGCACTGCGTCTTCACTAGTACTTGATATTGTCAGTGCTTCTTATTTTAGCCATTCTAATAGACGCGTAGTGAATTCTCATTGTGGTTTTAATTTGCATTTCCATAATAGCTGGTGATGGTGAACATCTGCTCACATGCTTACTTGCCATCTGTGTATCTTCTTTGGCAAAGTGTTTGTTCAACTCATTTGTTCTTTTTTTTTTTTTTTGTTCCTTTTTTTCTGGGCCACGTTTTTTTTTTTCTTTTTCCTTGTGGGTTTTTTTTTTTTTTTTTTTTGCCATGCCACATGGCATGTGAGATTTTAGTTCCTCAACCAGGGGACCAGGTATCAAACCCATGCCCCCCTGCAGTGGAAGCACAGTCTTAACCACTGGGCCACCAGGGAAGTCCCTCATTTGTTCATTTTTAAATTGAGTTGTTAGTTTTCTTACTGTTGTGTTTAGAATCTCTACATATTATGGGTACAAATGTGATGTCAGATACGTGCTTTGCAGTATTTTCTCCTAGTCTGCAACTTGTCTTTTCATTCACTTAACAGTATTTTTCATAGAGCAAAAATTTTAATTTTGATGAAATCCAGTTTATCAGCTTTTTTTCCTTTTTATGGATTGTGCTTTTTTGGCTTCATGTCTAAGAAATCTTTGTCTAGCCCCAGTTCTCAAAGATTTTCTCCTATATTTTCTTCTAAATAGTTTGTAGATTTATATATTACATTTAGGCTTATGATCTGTTTTGAGTTAATTTTTTTTTAATGTGAGGTTTATGTTTTTTGTTTTGGGGAGCATATAGATGGATGTCCAGTTGTTCTAGAACCATTTGTTTAAAAGACTATTCTTTTTCACTGAATTTCTTTTGTATCTTTGTCAAGAGTCAATCAGCCATATTTGTATGGGTCTATTTCCAGACTTTGTATTCTCTTTCGTTGATCTATGTGTCTGTCCTTTTACCAATACCACATGGTCAAGATTACTGTAGCTTTTATAAGTCTTAAAAATCTGGTAGTGTGATTTCTCCATCTTTATTCTTTGCAAAATTATTTTGGCTTTTCTATCAATTTTGCCTTTCTGTATAAATTTTAGAATCAGCTTATCTATACAAAAACACTGCTGGGATTTTGATTGAAATTACATTAAATCTATATATTATAAGTTTGGGGAGAATTCACATGTTTATGCTAGCGAGTCTACTAATCCATGAACATGACATCTCTCTTCATTTATTTACATCTTTGGTTTCTTTTATCAGCATTTTGCAGTTTCAGCATGCAGATCCTGTATAAGATTTGTTAGATTTAAAGCTAAGTATTTATTTTCTTGGAACTGTTATAAATGGTATTGTCCTTCTAATTTTGGTTTCTACTTGTTCATTGCTAGTATATAGAAATGCAGTTTCTATACTTTGATGTATTGACCTTGTGATGCAACTAAAGCAGTACTTAGAGGGGAATTTATAGCACTAAAATGCCTATGTTAGAAAAACAGTGTCAAATCAATGACCCTAGCTTCCACTTTAATAAACTAGAAAAAGAAGAGCAAACAAAAATATAAGCAGAATAAGGGAAATAACAAAGGTAGAGCAGAAGTCAGTGACACTGGAAAGAGAAAATTTTATTAAATCCAAAGCTGGTTCTTTAAGAAGCTCAAAAAAAAAAAAAATGTAAACCTCTGTTGAGACTGATAAGGAGAAAAAGAGTAAACAAATGACCTGTGTCAGGAATGAGAGGAAACACCACCACAGATTCTACAGATACTAAAACTAAAAGAGAATATTATGAACAACTTATGGTAATTTGACAATTTAAATGACATGGACACAAATTCCTTGGAAGATAAAAATTAGTTCACTCAAGAAAAAATATAAAATCTAAACAGCCCTATCTATGACAGAAGTTTAATTTGTAGTTTAAAATCTCACAAAAAGGGTCTTCCCTGGTGGTACAGTGGTTAAGAATCCACCTGCCAACTCAGGGGACATGGGTTCGATCCCCAGTCCGGGAAGATCCCACATGCCGCGGAGCAACTAAGCCCATGTGCCACAACTACTGAGCCCGCGCACCACAACTACTGAAGCCCGTGCGCCTAGAGCCCGTGCTCTGCAACAAGAGACGCCACCAAAATGAGGAGCCCTCGCACCACAACGAAGAGTAGACCCCGCTCGCCACAACTAGAGAAAGCCCGCGCACAGCAACAAAGACCCGGTGCAGACAAAAATAAATAAATTTTAAAAATAAATAAAATTTCACAAAGAACCCTCTAGGCTTAGATCATTTTAGCGGTAAATGTTCAAGGAGGAAATAACACCAATTCTACACAACCTCTCCCAAGAAATCAGAGGAAAAAATATTTTCCTGCTCCATCTATGTGGCCAACATTGCTCTGATCCCCAAACCAGACAAAAGATGTTGCAAAAAAGGAAAGCTAGAAGATAACCTGCCATGAACATCAAGGTTCTTTAAGTTTTAGCAAATGAAATCCAACAAATGACTCATATAAAGAGCATAATATATCTTAACCAAATAGGGTTTATCCCAGCATTGCAAAGTAGGTTTAACATTTGAAAGTCAATGTAATTCACCATATTAATACAGGGGGAAAATCGTGTGATTAAATTGATAGATACAGAAAGTGAGCTGGACAGTTTAACACTGATTCATGATAAAAGCTTTAAGCAAGTAAGAATCTTAAGGGAATTTCCCCAGTTTGAAAAAGCCCTTCTACCAAAAAATCTTCAGCAAGCATGGTGAATGTCTGGATGCATTCTTCCTACTAACAGGTCCACTGCAAGGATGCCCACTGTCATTACTTCTGAACATTTTACTGGAGGTTCTAGCCAGCGCAAGAGGGCAGTAAGGAAAAAAGGTACGAGAAAGAAAGAATTAAAATTATATTCAGAGGTGACTTGTAGAAAATCTCACAGTGTCTACAAAAGGATTAATAAGTGAGTTTAGCATGGATGCAGGGTACAAGATTAATATATGAAAACCGATTGTATTTCTATACACCTGCCTTGCACAATCAGAAGTTGAAATTAAAAAACAATGCAATGGATAATGTCCAAAATTATCAAAATCTTAGTAAATTTGACAAAAGATGTGAAAGACCTGTATAGTAAAAAAAAAATTGCTGAGAGAAACTAATGAAGACCTAAAAGGGATATGTATATACAATGTTCATGAACTGGAAACCCAATGTTCTTAAGATGTCAATAAGAACAAATTTGACGGGGCTACACTGCATAACTTCGAGACTATTACAAAGCTGCAGTAATCAGGATAGTATTGTATTAGTGTAAAGATAGACACATAGATCCATGGAGTAGATCCGTGGAACTGTATAGAGTCCAGAAATAGAACTACATATGTATAGTCACTTGGTTTTTGACAAAGGTGGAAAGGCACTTCAGTGTGGGAAGGATAATGTTTTTCAAAAAATTGTCTTGGAACAATTGGATATATTTAAAAATCTCCCACCCTTCTCATACCATCTATCAGGTTAATTCTTGATGGATCATAGGCCTAAATGTAAAAACTAAAAATATAAAACTAGGAAAAAAATGGGACAAAATCTTATTATCTTTGTATTTGGCACAGATTTCTTACACGACACAAAAAGTATGAACTATAAAAAAAGTCAAAATTTCAAACTTTTTGCCTTTTAAAAGTCACTGCTGCTAACCATTCCCCTGCCCCCATGCGTGAGGTGGTGCAAATAGCCTATCCTACCATATTCCCAGGAACAGAGCTGGGAAAGGTCCTCAACACCTAGTCAGAGTAAAGATGAACAGAACAGGTTTATCTAGGCTCTCACTTGCTTCCGTAGGACCCATCCATGCGTGCCAATCCCACC